CCTAGAATTCCCTGAAATTTGGCGAACAATGTAGATGAGGGCTGAAATAGAAGTAGTAGAAGAGCTTTGGCCCAGCAGACCTTGAAAGACTGGAAGTAGGATGCTCCTAAAAGTGCTCACAGAACAAGAAGTAGAGCTGATGGAAAGTCAGTCTCTGCTAGTTCACATCAAAGAGAAAGAAAGAAGCTTCTCAGAATTAAAAAGTATGGAATGAAGAATGAAACCAGTTCGGCTTGGGCTGCCCATTCCTTTGTAAAATGACATAACAGTGCGTATATGCAGAAATGAAAAGAAAATCAGATGACTTTCACAGGTGCTAAGATGCTGGTGTGCTGGCATGGGTAGTTTGACAACAGGAACCACTGGGGATTTCAGTTAAAGACCATGAAAGATCATAGTTCATCAAGGCAAGACAGGGAAGTAAAGGTGGAGCTGAATAATTGCCAATGGAGATCAAACACAGATAAGAGCTTAAGTAGGGAATAGGTTCTTAAATAGATAAATAATAAATGTCAGTCAAAAATACAGTAGAGGGCAAAAATACTTTTATTTTCTTTGGTGTTGCTATCTAAGATTCAATGAAAAGATTCACATATTCACCTCATCCCTTATCCCAAGAGATTGGAGTGGTGGTGCTTGCATGACTTGGCTTTGGATCTGGTGAAATTTGTGTGTACTCTATCAAATCTTCTTACCTGGCTACCAATTCCTTACCATTACCAAAAGCCCACACTGGGGACTTGACTTCTCAAGCGCGGGATGGTATTTGGCAGCCAGGAAGAAAGGAGTTAAAGAAATGATGTTTATGGCACAGCTGGGACCCATTAACAATTAAATTCTTGGGCAGAAACCCAGCAGGAAGCTGAAGAGGAGCTAAAGAGGCTCAATGGTCTCTAGAAAGCAAAAACTTAATTCAGAAATGAATGAACTGCCTTTACTATGAGCTTTCTGTGAAACTCAAATTGCTCAACTAAGAATAATAGCAATTATTAGTTAAGAGCCTATAACATGCCTCACTATAAATCAGGCGTCTTAATAAGAGAGACAATGAGAAAGTAATTTCTAGACCTATTCTTACCACTACATAAATAGGGGAATGGTACTGATCTGATTTTAAATCCTACTCGATGAGGCAACACAAAGTAATTTCAGCCATTTACTATGTGCAGTTTGGTTTATTTTTGATGACAGAAGTTTGATTTGGAAGAAATATTGGTAAACACAGTACTTCAGAGTGATGTCATGGTAGAGAGTTGCAGGGCCCCATGATTTTCCTTTACTTTGCTCCCTCCACTTTATATTCATATCTTATTACTTGTTTCTGTTGTTCCCTTTCTACTGAACCAGGACCCACTCTAAACATTCATGGTTTCCTAATATCTTATGATACAACTCAATTCGCTACTATTTTGTATTGGTTTTTGCTAGTCATTTCTGAGACTTTTTGGAAAATTATAACCAATCCTTATTTCTCCCACCACTTGTAAGTTCATATATATCAACCATACAAATATAAATTGATCATATTCAGTTCTGTATTTTATGTTATCTTTGGATTATTCCATTGTCTAATGTGTAAAGATTACCTTTACTAAAGATTACAAGCCACTTGACGTCAGGGATAGGCATCAAGATTAATTTTTATCCTCTATTCTGTTTTACATAGTACTATTTATACAACAGAGGGCCAGGGATTTAGCTCAGTGATTCCACCACTTGCCTCACAAGTGCAAGGTCCTCAGTTTGATCTCTGGTACAGGGACAAAACAAAACATAAAACAAAACAACTGTACAACACACTCTTTAAGGATTGTTATGTTCTTGCAGAACTGAACTGAGCACTTCCATAACAAAACTGCATAGGTTGCTTTAGAAGATACTAAGTAGAAAAGGCATGAAAGAGCATGTTGATATGCAAACTAGGAGGCCTGGTCAAGGAATCTTTTTTGAATAGGGCCCTCAAGGATCAGATGAAATAAAAAGTTAAATGCAAAAGTACATACCCAACATAATTTATACAATTTAAAATAAAAGGTATATGCAAGTGAGAACCATTTTCTTACTTGATCACACTCACTACTGGTTAGGACAAGATTTAACACATCCATGCAGATGTATTGAATGAGTAAATTAAATGATCAAAGAACAATGATATTTTAATAAATGGTTAGATTAATCAAGTAAAGTTTTCCAGGTAAATTGGGAAAGACATTAATAGAATGACAAAAAAGGAAATAGTCAAAGAATGAGACTTCTTAGGCAAAAGTTATGGCATAAGAAATCATGGGGAGGGGATAAGATAATTTTTTTTAAAAGAGGGAAGCTAAGAAACAGTAAGATAAGGATTATCATGAGTCCCAGAGAGTTTTGAGCTTTGGAAAGGTAAGTATAAAATATGCTTGTGGTAGAAAATAATTCAAGTTGTTAGAATCAGAAGTTTGACAGATCGTTCAGAAGTTGTAGCGGCTACGTGAAATAAACTCAAAGTCAGGCAGATATGAAACTTTGGGAATGGGCAGATATGAAAAGAGGGTCTTGTTTGCCCTGATATAATTAGAGAGGATCATTTTGGGGGACCTATTTGAGAGATTTCTGTGATGTTAATCTCAAACTAGTAAGTCCCTGGAAGATTTAGAAGACAGTTTTCTGCCTTGATTTGGAAGGTGAAGCCATTGACCTCAAAGCCTAGGAATGTGTTACTTTGTTCTCTTAACAATATGGAACTTTCCCACAGCTAACAGTGTACAAACGCAAGATGCCTGGACTGAGTTAAAAGTGTTTTGTGAAAAGGATGGTCCAAATGTTGATTGGCCTTGGAAACTTGCGCCAGCTTCTAGCCAGCCAAATATGTCATCTGACCATCTTTCACAGCTAAGTAAGAACTGAGAAGTTCAGACAAAAGGTCCTCTGATGATTAGGTTGTGTCTAGAGTAAAAAAACAGATAAAGAGCCTCATTTTACTAACACCAAGAGTCACCCCTCACCTTTCTGATTTCTAGAATATCAACTGGAATTTCATAAGTAAACATTAAGGACCACCGAGCTGTATGTGGAAATTATCAGTTCATGCAAAATGGTCATGATAGCCTACAAGAAGTGTAAATAATGCAGAAGCAAATCACTTCTGTAAAGACAATAACATCAGCAGAATCCTTGACTAGAAAGAAGTCATGACCGTGTCTTTATCAATTTTGATTCTTATTAATTTTTCTTTATGAATTTGACACACATTTTTCAACTAAAAAAAAATCCACAGAACTTTTTTTTATGCTGTAGGTAGGAATTATCTGTGCTTTCTAATTAGACCCTATAAAAAGCCAGTTCCCACATGCATGAAAGTTCCCTTGAGTTACCAATAGCAGGCCTCCTAGGAATGCTGGGAAATTCATACAGGATCCTTGAAGCTAATCTCATGCCATCTGCTCAGCATCCTCAAAAATGCTATTCCAGAAGGCAGTTCTTCAAGCTCTTAAACATCTTTTTGACTTAACTCAGTGTGGCTGATAAAAATAAACTTTATATTTTGAATCACAATCGCTTGCACCCTTTCCTAAAAAATCGAACAAAAACTTAGAACTGTGTAATCTCACTCATTGTCCATCTCAAACACTATACTTTTCTCCGAGACCCCCATCTCCTCCCTTAATGACTGTGTATTAGGAGACGTTGCCTTGTTAGAAAGTGTGCCAAGTCGCTATTTCCCTTCGGTCAGTTGTTCTGTTTCTTCAGCCTTAGCGTCAAAGCACTCCATTATGTGAGTGGTTAAGTCCATATCTGCTGAATAGAGAAGTTCTTGGTATCAGGGTGAGAGGAATGTCTTTAACTATTTATTATCTACTTTCTGTAAACTCAACTTAAATATAGAAAGAGGCAACCGAAATAAAAATGATGTCTTCTTAAGATTCATAGTGTTTTCTCTGAAAAGAACATATTCTTTATCAAGGACTGAGAAAGTGTCCTTTTCCCTTTGCGTTCAGTGTATGAAATATTTACTTGTTAGGCTGCTTCCTCTGAAATAACTGTTTTCCATAGAGCTGTAGCGACCCATCCCATCAGTGTGCTGGTTAATTAAGTGTGACCTAAACCAACTTGACTTGAGCTGTGCATTAAATGCACAAAACCCATTTGAGCTGACCAGCAGCAGAAGTGGTACTCAGAGAAATTGGAAAGGATTTCTCCCAAATGCTTTCTACTTACTTACAGCACTCAAGTAATGGTTGAAGATTAGCATATGACATGACAGATTACATTAAGTCATGTCTTTCCAGTGCTTTATGACAGCACTATCACATTAGCTTCTTAGCACTGGCACATTGAGGCATGCAAATGTTTTCAGAGCCTCTTATTCAAATCTACAAGCTGACATGGCAGCCCTGATATGATTATTAGTCATTTGAGAGACTTTAATTCACGTCATCAGATAACAGGTTCTGCTAAAAGGTTAGAGAAACTGTCTGCTTTTAATGAAGCTCTCAAAAAATCCCTCAAAAACCCTGTTACATACCAAGAGCCTGGTTTGACTTTATTGACAAGATCCCTCTAGGAATGAACTTGAGTGGAATAATTAAATAGGCCTCGAGACACTGGAAATAGTGTCTGTTTTTCAGAGAAAACCATGTTGGATGATTGTGTTTTTCTTCTCCTTCACTGTACTCCCTCAGCCTATTCTGATTTGACTGTGGCATCTAGTAGCACAGCATGGATGACCCTTGGACATTTTTGGAGTCTGATACCCAATATGAATCTAACAGGCATAAGGAGAATTGTTCCTAGAACATTCATTACCATTTGGGCATGCACACTGCCACAGCTCACAGTAATGGGTTAATAGTGTCTGGCCAAGCATGGCGTGACTAAAGGGTGATGCGATTGAAAATCATCAGCCTTTGTAATGCTTAGTTTGTTTGCTGTAAATCAGTTTTGTAGTCAAATGTTTTATAATGCAGTGCTCTGCACTTAGACCCCAAGAGAAATATTCTTTTTAAAATGCTTTCCCATAGGTCAATGGAGTTTGGCACCATTCGAGATCTTACTGAAGGAAGATGGCATTAGGAAGTGTGCTGGCAGGATGAGCAGAGCACCAGAGAGTCTTCTACAGGTGGGGAAAAGAATTTGATGAAGGAGCAAAGGGAAAACTAATTTCCTTAAACCTGGAAAAGTAAACACAAATCTCCCTGCCCTTCCTCTTGTTAAGGTCCCAGATAGTTAATACTGAGAAAACCACTGCTAGCAAGTTTAAGAACAGACACTAAAATCAGTAGCTATCTCTGAAGTCTTTTTTCTTTTCTTTTCTTTTTTTTAATGTTTAATGTCAACTTGTTAAGGCAGATATTTTTTCTGTAGAAAAGAAAAATATATTCATAGTTTAAGGCAGTATGACGCGCTATATGTAATATAAATAACAGTTTAATTTATAGTCATTCTACTACCTAAAAGTGTCCAAAATTATTTAATTCATGTTTTCTTCCTGTGCATCAATGCTAGCATACATTATCTTAATAAAATATAAATTTAATATCATTTATGTATTCCTTTTCTCCAACTTTCCTTTTCCTCGTTTTCTTCAATTTAACAGCTATTCTGTGATTGTGTCTATACATGTAGCTTTTCTTCTAATCTAATTTGTACTGTTTTCTAAAGTAAACCGAACAGGTAAGTAACGTACTGAACACAGAGAATACAAAGGGGCATTGATAAATCATCCTGTAAACAAGTTCTTATTTAAGTAACAACTACTCTAATAAATGTGCTGGAAGAAAACAAGATTAGAGAAATTATAAGATACCTAAGTCCAAGTCTTCTGTTTCTCTTTCCATCATCCTTCTGTTTCTCACTTACTTTCTCCTGTGAGCAGGAACAACATGTGATCTGGCCTTGATGTAACAGACTAGGCAGCAATGTGCATCACGCATCTAGTAGAGACTGGCTCTGTGGAGAACCTCTGTGGCCGTCGGGACAACACTCTGGACCTTCCCTCCTCCCCCATGGCTTCCTGACCCATTACGAAAGACCTGGGTGGGACATTTCAGTTGAGGTAAATTTCTACTCCAACCTAGATATGCACTCTTTAGAGTGCTGGAAACTCATGCTGAATGTACAGACTTTGTTCCCTGTCATCTCTTCCATCCAGGTTGTAAAGCAGAAAGGATGTGCAAACTTCTGTGCAGGCTGATTTGAGTTTATGAAAAACCTACCTTTTTGTATTTGAAAAGCAAAAGTGGGCTTCCCTTAGTAACCTTAACCATAGTTTCTTTCTTTGTTGCTGTCTTTTCCTGCATTCCAATGCTTTCACATGCACTTAATTTTTCATCTTTCAGTTTGAGATTCACACACACACACACACACACACACACACACACACACACATTCTTTTCCACTTTTCCATATGTTTTTCCTGAAAATACCTCCTCTAGACTTCAGGGAGCCCAAGGACTCAAAGATAAGTGTGAGAGTAGCTGGACCTTAGTACCTTATTCATCTTTGTGAGCCCACTTTGGGTGCATAGTGCCTGACACACGGCATGTGTTCATAAGTGCATAGTTGCTGAATGAATGAGCAAATGGAATTGGAAACTATGATAACCAGCAGAGAGGTCTGGATTTTCATACTAGATCTCATTCTCCTTTCTCCCTTCTAGGAACACTGTCTTTCTATACTGAAGATTCCATCTGCCTCTCTATGATCTTCTCGTTATTTATGTATGGATACATACAGATGAATTATGTTGTCTTCACTTTAATGTTTCTTCTACATCAAACATTAGGAATTTATTAATGTTTTCATTTTTGATTCATGAACACTTGCCCCATGGATTATGGGAAAATCTATGAGCACTATATAACCTGCTCCTGTTAATGCTTTAATCTCTGCCTCCTTGCTGTTGCAACCACTTTTAGAACGTGGATTGTTCATGTGTGCAAACTCACCTTTGGTACAAGTACCCGAGCCTTACAATACTTTTAAAAGACTTAACAAGTGCTCTGAATATGTTCTTGGCTTATTTAACTCTTTTCTGGGCCTCACAGACCAAATCCTGGTTCTCTGGGCTCCAAAACATATAAAGAATATATAAATAATTTTAAAATATCATTTGTATGCCAACATTTAACATCCCACAAAATTTGCACTGGCTTATGCCAATTTCCCAGTACAGTGTTATCTAATTTCTGTTCCTCTCCATTTCAGGGTTTTCAAAGAAAACAAACATCTGCATGCATAGATCAGAGCCCGCCCGTAAACACATGTTCCTATCAAAACCAATCAAAGTGGAAAAAAGAAAGATCAGAATATTATACATTTTTCTTTAGATCTGATGTCTGATTTTCATTAGGTTTAACCCTATTTCTTTTAGATCCTAGGCATTGACCCAATATTTATTTTCCTGGCTGGGCCTGTTCTTGCCAATATTTCACTCTGGCTCCTGGAGGCTTTTACTAGAGGAGCTCAAGGCCCCTGCACTCCCTCTTCCCTTCTGCTGACCCTTGTAGACACACGTTTGTCATGCACCCTACATTTTATCTCAGAGCTAATTCTAAGACTTTTACTTCCTCCTATTCACTACTTCTTAATTTCTCCCTTTCTTACTGGATTTATGGCCGAACACTTTAATTTATTCATCATATAATGTCTTTATAACTCATTTTTTTAGTAATTTACACTGGACCACATGCTTTCTAATGCTGTCTCCTATTGATCTGTAAAGATTCTGGGGACAATGGTTAGAATAAAAAAAGCTATACAAATGGAAGTTATATTGTATCCTATTTGATCTCTTTTGAATAAAATGTATTTCAGGCTTGACTATGTGGTATCTGATGTTCCTTGATATAGCAGGATTTTGTGTATATATACATATATATATATATATATATATGTATATATATACACACATAAAATCATATACATATAGCTTTTCACTCAGATTAATTTTTAAAGACTTGGACAATGACAAAGTTAATAGAGTCTTCAGATTCAAGTCACTAACTGCATTTTGTAGACCACACTGATCCATAAGGGCAAAACTTCTAAAAGTCATTATAAAAAGAGCTTTGAGCCACATAGTAATTACTTTGTTTTCAGAGTGCACTTTTTGTTACACTCGTCTCATCTGCTTGCATAGCTCTCATGAAATAAAACATAGGTTGGCCCTTCTCTAACTCTAAGGATGATCCAAACACCACTGTGGGAATGAAGGCATGACACGCATCTCTCCAAGTTCTGACTTCCTTGTGCATGAAACAAACATGACCTCAATGCCTCTTCCTGGTAATGCTGTGAGGGTTATAGAAGGCATGCATGTACAAAAGCTATAAATAGAAAAGAAGGGCATAAATTACTGATAAATATTGTTCTAAAAGCTCAACATGATATCTTCATAGTCTTCGTTTTTCTAGTTTTAAAGGGAATAAAGTGTGTTCATTTGTGTTACATAAACAACATTTTGACCAGGATTAGTTGTGCAAAAGAAATAATATGTCATATCAACTTGGAGGTATCAATCAACCAAACTATACAGTGCTATTTCTAAAAAAGACCTTAAAACAAAATTTATAGCCTTTTTTATTCAACAAAATAAGGCAAACAATAAATTGTACAGTAATTTCTTAGTGGTCTTTCAAAGGCTGTACTATAGTGAATACAGGGGATTTTGCATCTCCTAATCATTTTAGGAATTAACTGTAAACCTAGTCCTTAAAATCAACTAACATCCTTAATTCAGAGAGCAGCCAGGAAAAATGAACCCCAGGACATAGATTGGGGCAACACTTTAACTAGTTCTCAGCCTGTAGCTCTTGATAATACCTTTTCTATCTTCATTCCTTTAATTTCCCTTTGAGAAATTTAAGCACTGTGAAAAGTAGAAAAATAACAAAACAAGTGGTCATATTCACATCATGTAATATCAGTGACATTTGTCTAATTTTCTATTAATATCTTTAAGCAGTAACCTGGCCATGTGGTGGCACACACCTGTAATTCAGCACTCTGAGTCTGAGACAGAAAGATGGAAAGTTCCAGCCCAGTCTGCATAACAATGATTTAGTGAGATTCTGTCTCAAAATAAAAAATGTCAAAGGTTGGAATGTAGCTCAGTCAATTCTCAATACAAAAGAGAAAAAAAATGAAAAATGTTTACTTTTATATAATACTATTTTAAGCAAAATATATATTACCTATATATTCATTAAGTAATATATTACTTAAGTATTGATATTTGTTTCTGTCTTCACAGAGGCAATCATCTCATTGATTTTCTGTTACTCTTTCCTATTCATATTTTTAGAGAAATACAAAATGAAACATATATATTTCCATAAACAATAAGTGGCACAATTTGCTAGATTTTGTAATAGATGTACTTTTCTGTATCCTCCCAATTAGGAATGATTAATTATGTAAATGAGACATACCCAAGTTCCCTACTTTATAAAAACAATATGTATAGTTTTTATTTGTATAAATATTCTACATTTATTTATGCACTTCTCTAAGTGCTTTTAGTTTTTTCCCTCTATTCAAACAATCTTGCAATATATTCTAATTTATTTTTTACTCTGTATATCTGTAAAGATCTGTTTACATTGTGCTCTAAAAAGTGATATTATTTGACTGTAAGGTATTTGTTTTAGAAAATTTCTGGGAATCTACAATTAATTTAAAATAAAAATTTAAAACTATCATAATTTTTGGAGATTTTTATTCTGTTTTTCAAACTTTTTGACTGTTAGGTCATTGGTCCTCTCCATTTCTCCATGCTCTTTTGGAGATTTCTTCTGCTCTGTCTTCCAATTTATGTATTCTCTCTTTAACTGCATCTTTTCACCCATCTCTTTAAATTTTTTCCAACTGATTACTTTATCTCCATTTAGTTTTTATTCTTTCTCATGTCTACTTAGTGGTTTTTACTTGTTTCTTAACTTCACTATTATGAGTTATCTGTTGTCTGTAATTCCCTGAGCATATACTTCTCCCTCTGTTGCACAATATTGTTCATTGTGAATGGAGTTCTTCATAGTATAGAATCATTTTCTCTCAGGATTGGCCTGGGTTGTTGTGGTCCATGTGGGGTATTTTGGCAATTGCCATGTAATCATAACCTACAGTTTTTAAATTACATCTCTGCTTTATGAATTCCTACCCCACATGGCTCAAATTTTAACCTAATTCCTGAATATGAACTTCATCTGTCAGAGACTGCCATTTATATTTGTGGGCCCAAATGGTCAACTAACCATAGGCTTGCACCTAACCAGAAGGTAGAGATTTTCAAATTCCTCTCCATGGAAGTCAGTTTGTTCTTGGTTTCCAGTATTAGACTAGGATCCCTTAACCTGATTATTGCAGTTGCAACTACTAGCATCATATGGATATTAAAACCATAACATCAAAGTTTTATTTCATAAGTCATTTGACTTTCAATTCCTATTAAGATTTTTTTACACTTGGTATGTTGAAATTTCTCTTTCTGCTTTCAACTGCAGATATACATATCTACAGTGAACAGAAAAATTATTTTACTTGTCTTTCTATGCATGTGGAGAAAAAGAGTGTGTTTACTATGCTTTTAACATCACTACTTTGTTCCAGATCTTGCTTTACCTCACCTTCTACCATGTATTCCTGGGCTTATGTGAGACTTCTTTCCTCTTTTAAATCAGGAGCTATAGTTCATCAAATTTTGAATTCCTCATGACACCAATAAAATTCCTTGGCCATTTTTGTTGAATAAATGTATTAGATGAGAGATTAGATGACTGGGCAAACATTTTTCTTTCCACATCTTACATTTGATGAATATTTCTATTTAGACATATAATTCATGCAAGATTTATTATCTCTGGATGTCTGATATTCTCTTAATCAGCATATCTAGTATTAAGGGGGATAGTGCTGAATAAAATACAACAAAACATTTAGTACTTAATTAATTCTACTCACTCTCAACTCTATACTGTTGTTCAAATTGGCCCCATAATTTACACATGACATAATTTACACATTGGTACAAAGAAAATTTTGTTTATCCATTGATGGTATAGGGACATTACATTTCACAGTTAGAAAGAAATGG